GGGTCTGAATCAGCCCCAGTGATACATTCATCCAGGCTCTCCTGGTGATCATAAACCAGACTGAAGGGCTTAGAGGGCACGATGTGACACCAAATATATAAATTATTCCATTTATTCAGGATTTTCTGTTGCTCTGCATTTTCCTCAGATTTTACTTAGTCAGGTTTGAGGTAGGAGAATTTCCCACTGATGTTTCTGTGGTGACACTTGAAACTTGAGAAGTTTGAGGAGGAGGAGGAGCTTTAAATGAACAGATCAGCGTTCTAAAAATACACTTCTTGATAGGCAATGACAGTCGATTCCAGCCTCGGGCGTAGGCTAAAGCCAGGAGTAATGATGGTAATCTGGGATCAGTTCAAAATGTCCAGTCCATTGAAATTGCATGCCTCTTTGCTTATCAATTACTTCAAACGGTGCTAGCAAGTTTTTCAGACAGCTGTGCATTACGCAATAATATCAGCTCATTGCAGACTCACACCTGACTCACTTGTAGACTCTTATTTTCCAACTCTTCTCAGTGTTTCCAACAGATTTAAGCTGGGAGGATGGGAGGATCCTCCCCCCTCTGGTCTCTATGACCCTGCCGCTGCTAGGGAAATAATTTTATCCAGATATGATTGTTGAAGGATGACCCAGGTCAGTTCAGTTTCTACTTTTCATAAAGCCAGAAACCACCACTGTTTCAGAGTGAAAACTACAATTATCTAAATAAAAGAGAAGTGAACTTGATTCAGAGAGTCCGGTGACTCGCAGAAACATCCTTGAAATACTCCTACTGCGTGTCAAATATTTGCCTGATTGCTGACATCTGAATTCCCTACAAAGGTGTGTCCTGCAGCTTCTTCTTTTGACTTGTTGAATTGTACTGGAGCTGCTGTCTGCGACAGTTATGTTAAGCGCACAATTTGATGGCTTTGGTGTAGCGGTTGTGGCCTACTAACTATTCAGCAGGGGTCCTAACCTGGCCGTCATTCATTGCATCATTCACAGGTTAGAACCTGAAGCTCTAGTCAAGTCATTTTCACATTTTTATTAACTCTCAAATCCAAAAGTTCATAACAGTAATCTGTTACAGTATTCTTGTTAATGCTGTGGTAATATGTCTAAGCTCTGAACTTGTTTGGCTAAGGTTTATAATTATTCTGCAAACATTACAGTGAAAGCAATAACTCAATAACCAGCCTGCTCTAACAGGCTTTAAAGTATATAGGACCACAATGGTTACTGGATTGTTTTTATGGGGGGAAAACAATAACATCTCCCACACTTATTTTTTTTACAGATTACACCATGGAATTAGATTTAGTTAAGATTCTTTGCTGTAAAATGTTTTAATTTATGGGGGGGGAAACACCAGGTCCCCTGTTTAGACTGCAGCTACTGTAGGTAGTGTTTGTTCTGCTTTGCTGCGTCGGTGAGTTTACCATTGCAGCAGAGCAGATCTGCTGGTTCTGTTTAGATTGGGCCTCCTGTCATCCTGTCAGACGGAGCCACCCACATCTGAGGATGCGATGAAGAGTAGCTGAATCATATCGAGGGCTGTTATAATAGCAACCCGGCCATAACGCCAGCCAGATATGAGAAGAGCTGGGGTGCGCTAATTAGCAGAGACTGAACTGGCACATCCATAAAATCTGTCTCTAGCTTGGAGACATTATCTAAGATAAGCATAAAGACCTGTGACTGTCACCACCTCCTGCATGCACTAATTATTATATTATATCTTGTTTTTTAATCTGTACAAAATTCGTTAACACTGCACGCAGCCTAGCTTAGCTTAGCTTAGCCTAGCATAGCTGTTTCACCAGTGTCCTGTGTTTGATAAGCTTTGCTGTCTGCCTGTAATTTCATGTGTACATACATTTGCTATAAAAATTCATAAAAAAGGCACAAAATTCTTCAAACATTTCTAATATTTTAACTATTGAAGCTCCTGAAGCTTTTTTAAAAGGACATTGATACACCACACGATGCAAAATCCCTACACAAACCACTATCCGGCTAAAAGAAATGTATACGGTATTTGAGGGATATTCCCAGCCAGGAAATAACAGCCAACCATTAGTCAAAGATCTCTGTGCTCAGGCTCAGATTCAATCTAATGCTGCCATTAATTATGGAAGACTTATATTGTGTTTGCCTACTTGCTCTTACTAACTGTTATCAGATCAGCAGGGGTGAGCTGGATCCAGACTTATTTCTCTGGAACGGCTGAAATAATACTATCCTAGGATCAGTGTGCAACCGTGCGAGTTGAGATACTATCTATAGAGGTGTTATCTAATCATTCTAAATCTTAGTTTGTGTGTGTGACTAAGTGTGTAGTGGCTGAGTGCAAACACACATGATTGCGCATGCAGTAGGAGTGTGTATCCATACATCCTTTTGTTTTTTCTGCGTTTCTGGTGTTTCCGTGTGTGTGCGAGTTGTTCACATCTGGTCTGAATCTGTCCATGTTTCCGGGCGCTGGCTGGGCAGGGAAGTGGCAGGCGCTATCGAAAATCTCCGCTGTTTTCACAGGGATGATGGGAATCTCAGGGACTTTCCCTACGGCAGTGAAATCATCCGCCTTTCCCGCTCCTTTAAATACCCCCGGCTCATTCCTCCGCCCTGCTAGGGTTCCGATAAAACAGCTGAGACATCTTGTGTTTGGCAACAGTTGTCCTCTAAAAGGTGTAATTAACTCATGAAAAACTGTATTTACTGTCAAGGCCTGCTAAACTAATGGACTTGAGGTCTGGCTGGTTGGAGTGTAAATTGGACCTTAATGTGGTGGTTGACATGCAGCATTCCTATAGGAGGAAAAAATACAAAGGCTTCCTTTAAAACGGAGTGTCATCCATAGATTTGTTGACATTTACGGTGGCTGAGGATGGAAGCTGAATGAAACTGAAACAGAAGTGAAGTTAGCTTGTTGTATGTCGTGTCAGTATAATTTTTATCTTCTTAAACATCTGTCTATATTTTAGGATCGTCAACAAATATGTTGAAATCCTAAAGTCTCCCTAACTGTTTCACCATTCAGCACTCCTCACAGAACCTGCGTCGCCTAACCAGCCGAGAGCTCTTAATTTACTGGTCATCAGGGTCTCTCCCTCGCCGGCGTTGCCTCCCTGCTCGCGCCTGTCCCCCTCTGTCTCCCATCATCCCCCTATGGTCTCCCATTGCTATTTATTCCCATCACTAGGAAACAGGCTGTGCACAAAGCCTGCTCTGTGTCCCGAGGCTTTTTTAGAATAGAAACTGGGTCTGTTGAAAATGGAAACGCTATGATTGACTGGGCGCAGCTTGCACAGAGAGACGAGGAATGCCAGCGAGAGGCACAAATTATCTGCAGGAACGATGGGGAAATATTATTAATGAAATATGGGCTTGAATTATATTATAAAGTCTTCAATAAGCTGAGGTCTTTTAGTAGCCGCTATTATTCTCCTTTCCAGAGCAGCTAGAGGAGACCGATGATGAGATTGTCTATTTATTTTGAGCTGGATGATGCCAGTCCGGTAACGTCATTGTAATAAAAATCATGGTCTGTCTGACTGTCACTGGCTGCCTTCTTTTTTTTTTCTCTGCCGCCATTCTCGAGTCTCAATTTCATTGCACCACTGTTTGGTATTAAAGTTCCAAGCAGTTGTTCCAGAGTAAATTAATTTGTTGTGAGAGAGTCACATGGTTTGTAGCAGCATAACTGAGGCTGAAATAATGCTTTGTTGCAGTAGTGGAAAAATGTTCGACTGTTATGGGCGGTTTCTAAAAGAATTTCTGTCTTAGTTGAATAAATAGAAAACGACAAACTTAGATAATCAGCACAAACAGGAAAGATGGATACGACATGCAGCGGAGCCCCTCAGCTGGGATGTCATCGGTACACATAGTTAGGCTGCGGGGCAGCTCTTATTTTTCTTTGATCTCTCTAATGATGCCTTAGTGATGATTCTTTTTAAAGCTCTTTTTTGTTCGCCCTCTCCTGTGCACCCACCCGGTGTTATAAGAGTATTGGCAGGCCTTTGTTCCCAGCTCAGGCAGCAGTCAGGTTAGGCAGGATTCTGAAGTAGCGCGCTGTTTCTGCCTGAGCCAGCTGGGGCCCTGCCAAGCACAGCAGGAGTTTCTACTCTGTTTGATATTTACTTTACCGCCTTTACAGGAGAACTAGTGCAAGACCAGACAGACACACTGACACAGGACTGTGTCGGTGTTAAAGAGAACTCTGTGTGTGTGTGTGTGTGTGTGTGTGTGTGTGTGTGTGTGTGTGTGTGTGTGTGTGTGCGTGTGTGCGTCCAGGCCTCTCTTTCTACCCCACCTTTACTAAACTATAATCTACACCTGTGGGCCCTGGGCAGGTTTTGCACTGGTTCCCACTACAAGGCCAAACGGACTGCTAAGACAGGCTCAGACATCATCTTGCATTTGTGTACAACCTAAATTGTATGTGTTAGCAGCGTGCATATGTGTTTGTATGTTGGAGGAGTGTAGAGTTACCAGGCTGAGAGAGTGGAATAGAATCGGGGATATAAAGGGTGTAAAATTATTGGTAAAGGAATGCAGGAAGAGAAAATGCATAATATATTTGGCATAGGTTATGACTCCTGTGGGGATAATGGGGCAATGGCGTGAGAGCTTGTGTTTACTAGTGGAAGAAGCCTCAGGTTAAAAATTAACATACATCAGAACATCTCTTTTTATTCCCATGGAAAAAGATCCAAGGAATTTGCCTATGACTTTGTTACTTATCAGGGTCTGGGACACCATTCCCAGATGCGCCTGCACCTCCTCCTCGTTTGGGGTACAAACTGTGTTTATCGGGAAGTGAGCCTCTAAGGTTCAGGAGCAGCAAACAACCTAAGAGTTGAACGTTGCCCAGAACTTTTCTTTCACAGTGATAAAAATATTCTTTGCTGGCAACATCGGAGCACTTACAGTCAGTGTTTAAATGGGTGTTTTGCTACTGCCTGCGTCCCGTCAATATAACAGTGCTTTGTTTTGTTTTTCTGTGTCTGCAGGGCATCGTCAGAAGCTCGAGGATCCTCCCAAAACTGGTCTGTTCTCCGACCGCCTCAGCGAGCTAGAGAGGATGAGGGTGAGGGTCGCAGTTCCGACACAAGCTCCCCGGCCAGCTCTCAACACGGCGGCCAACTCCTTCAACCCACAGGGACAGACGCAGATAACAGGTGAGCCGCCAAGGACAGCTTATACAAACCTCCTGGTGTTGATGGAGAATCCAGGTGCTGGAAGCGTCCAGGAAGTGTGCATGCACAGAATCTCTTAGCATGCTGTTCCGTATCTGATCTTAAACCTCTGCGATTTTATAGTTCCTTGTTATAAGTTTCAAATACAAATATTTTGCTGTTGGCCAAGCTTTGTGTGTGTATGTGTCATCTAGGATACCAAAAGCCTCCTTGTGCTGAACATGATATGATCATACTCTGCTGTCATCCTGCAAAATTGAGTTGCCAAAATTCTATATTGTATTTTAAAAAAAGAGTCTTCTTATTTTCACGTGTGAAGAAATCCTCACACAGACACACATGCTTTGAACTGTGGATGCACACAAGGAAAGGAAGGTTTTAAAGGAGTTAGCGGGCATTTTTATTTTTAAAATTTGACGTTTTTCACATCGCTTCCCTTCCAAGAAAGTATAACCAAGTTGACGCATGGAATAGGCGCGTGTCCAACACGTGCCATGCTTTTTCTGGACAGGCGGGCTGAGTCACAAACCGAGCACCGTTTACTGTATGTAAGGTGAAATATTAAACCCCAATTGGAGCCTCAGACACATCCTGAGCCACAAAACACCAAGCACGGTGCCTCTGAGATCATCTGTCTTTCTCTGCTCCATCACTCTATCAATCTTAGAAGGTAACAAAATCTCTCACGGTTTGGGATGGCTGCTACCCGATCACCCAAATCTCTGGAGGCACGTCACACGTCGTCATTTAGCTCTTAGTTAATCTCTGTCACGGTTTTGTGTTGCGACTCGATGGATCGTTGAGGGCACGGTTTCGCAGCAAAGCAGTGCGGGGGTGACAATTGTACACTGGACTGAAAGTAGCACGCGAGCTAACTGCCAAACAGGTGCTGCTTGATTGATAAGATTGTTTGGTTTCTTTGGGTTTTTTGGCATGCCTCCTCACCTTCTGTGATCTGACAAAAACAGTGAAAGAAATCACTTGAAAGTGAACAATCAAATAGTTTAGTTTTGTCATGCACACATAAACACGCGCACACATATACTTTCTGTCTCAATCAGCTTCCATTCTGAGTCCTTGTTGCCGCACAGACACAATGATAAAGTGTTGTGGTTGTCTGCCGGTGTGTTTACACCGTGGCTGAGTGCCAGCGAGGCTCTCTGTGCCTCAGCTGCGAGCACACAGTTTTACAAGGCAAACAGGAAGATCTTCTCTCTAAAAGGTAAACATTAGAAGTCTTATTATTAAAAAATGTTGCATAACATGCCCGAGTGATATTTAACCCTAAACACAGGCGCGGAGAAGCATAGCGACGGATCAAGTCCGCAGCTCGTTGTGTTATTGTTGCCAACCTTCCCGCCCCCCCCTCCCAAAAAAAATCTGAATATTTGAACAAGCTTGTGGGCCAGTGGTAATTCTTTCGTTCTTCCTTTCTTTTCCTGTCTTGTGTTTTCTTTATACGTCTTTCTGTAATCTTCCCCCCTCTTTCCCACTTCCATTTCTGTCCTCTCTCCCTCCGTTTCTCCCCTTCAGACCCTCGTCAGTCCCAGTCCTCTCCTCCCTGGTCGTACGAACAGACGTATCCGTCCTACCTGAGTCCCATGGCGTCCCCCTCGGTCCACTCCACCACCCCCCTCTCCTCCAGCCGAGCCACAGGTCTGCCTGCCATCAGTGACGTGCCTAGACGATTGCCAGGTACTGTCAGGGTCATTTAATCTGCTACAAGTAATTTAGTTTACAACATTTTACAACAAGTTTGCAGCATTTTTCTTACTGCGAGAAAGGGGGGGTAGGGGTGGAGAGAGAGGCACACACGCACTTTCACACTGTGAAAAGCAGAAACGTATACAAAGAGGGGAGAAAAAACTATGAGCTACTATTTAAGAGAGAATAATTCAGCAAAGCAAGCTCATTCTCAGGCGAACGTGAGGAATGAGGCCATATTGTCCAACCATCTCTCCAGAGAACGCTTTGCTTGATGTTTTTCAAACAGTCGAGGGGAAAAAAACAACTATTGTTTCCTTTTTCTTTTTTTCTTTTTTTTTTCCAAGCTCAGAGCCTTTGATCCCAGAGGAGCATGGGTAATAACAGGCCCAGGGATAATAACAGGCTCGTGACTGACAAATAAAGTGTCTTTACAGCGATGTGCCACTCTCTCAAGGCATTCTGGGTAATTGCGTTAGCCAGTCTGTTTGCAGTAACGGCAGCATCTGTGTTCCAATTTGTCCCTGTTTTTCCCCCAATGTAAGAGCTCCTTTAAAATCCCTGCACGCCGCCAGACGAGTTTCTGCCCTGTACACCTGTTTGACTCACTGCCACCAGTTTTTTTCTACACTACTTTTTGTTTCTGTTTCCTTGTGCTAACATACTACACCCTCCTCTGTGTGCATGTGTGTGTGTGTGTGTGTGCCCCGAGCGAGGGTGAGTGATTAAGCGATGCAGCCATGTGACTCTGCATTAGAAAGGGTTTAAAATCCCGCCAGCTGCCTTGTCAACTTTGATTAGTTTGGTCGCTCACTTCAGCTTTCATCTAGCGAGCGTTGGTCTTTGTTCTCAAAGCGCGAGCACCAACACGGGGGCAAAAACTCGCCTCCCCACTTTTACCCAGTCGCACACCTCAAGCGCTTAATGCCTCCTAAGCGATGTGACTAAGGCTCTCAGATCTCCAGAGATCATGTTGACACCTCGCCAGGCGGCTGTGTAACCGTATCCAGCCGCAGAACATACCGACGAGCACGAGCAGAAGCTGATATGGATGCTGTATCGGGGTTCCGCCCTCCCTTAAGCGGTCCGGCTCGTGTGTCAAAATGTTACATTTGCTCAGAAGCGATCGCAAAAAAAGTTCATCAGTCAAGTCAAACACCTCATTCGGAAGCAACGCCCCCGAGTTTTGTAACATCCTTCCAAACATTCAGACGTTTACACTCTGGTTTTATTTAGGCTGATAAAGTTCGATCTGGCCCATCATCACAGGGCCTCTTTGAGCACAAAAATAGGTCCTGAAGTTAAAAGCAGGGGGTTTATTGAACAGCGCCGGTCACGTCTGAGATCACACTGCCCCTCTGCAACAGAGAGACAATCGCCTACTATTTCTATTAGAATCAAACGGATCTCGGGGGGGAAAGAGGAAGTTTAAAGGCCTTAATTAGCAGCATATGCTATCTGACGCTGCAGCGACAAACCCGGCTTCGCAATCCCTCCCTGCACATAAACACTGCGCCCACCTCCCCTCCTCTTCCCCACCACCCCCTGTCCTCTCGCAGCAGACATGGTGACACAGAAGACGCCTGGTGATTTATGATAAGAGCGCCATGGCTGGACTAAACCGCTGAGAGGGAGACGGGGAGAGAGGGGAGGGGAGGACCTCCTATTCTCCTTAAACTCTTCGCCCAGCGCGAAGCTCGCCGCAGCCAGTTAGTGGTTTTTTGGGTATTTTTTAAAGGGATGAAGCGAAAAGAGGAACGAAGGGTGAGATGGAGCAGCTCCTTCTCATCCCCCCCTCCCCACACACACACACACTCCTCCTGCGCGCGCTTGCACGGACGCACACTCACACGGATACATACACACACAGGCTGGAGCCGATGGGAGGCGAGGAGAGGAGCCACATCAGAGCTCAGCCCTGCCTCATTATGGATCTCATGGAAACTGTTTCTGCTCAAAGTGTTTCCACATGTGCAGCTCCTGATTCATCCCAACTGCTTCTTTTTTTTATGTGCATACAGTATTCACACACATACAGCTCCCCCCACCACCCCCACACGCACGCACAGATATATTTGCATGCATAAACAGTTGCACAGATGCACATAAACATGCACCAACACACTCACAGGAACATAAATATGCAAAGGTGTAAACATGCTTGCACGCGACTTTGCTGATGTGCGTTTGGTAACTTCATGGAAACCGAATAGCAGCAGCTGGAAAAAAAGCTGACTGAAGTTCATCGATATATCATTATTAATATTGATAGATGAAGGCTGCTCCGCAGCCGTGCCCGCAAAATCTATTAGCTTCTTCAGATTGGTTCATAGACAATTCAGTTTACTGCTGTTTAATTTCTCAAGAGACGTATTTGTTAAATTCAATTACTCTACAAGACAAAGTGCTAAATGGTTTAATAGTCCAAACCACATTCAGCGCAATCACAACTGACAAGCTGATGTGTGATTATTTAGGTTCCGTAATAAATCCTTCCTGTCGACGTCATAAAACACCGACGAAATTCACGTGTTTGTGCGTTTTGTGTTTTCACCTTTCAGGTTCCTCTGACCTGAGCCCATTCCCCGGTCAGTTCGAGCGCCAGTTCCCGAGCCTCTCCTCCCTCACAGAGAGCCGTTTCTCCAGCCCTCGGATGCACTACCCGGCAACCTTCACCTACACCCCGCCCGTCACCTCAGCCATGTCGCTGGGCAGCGCCCACTACCACACCTACCTTCCCCCTCCGTACCCGGGCTCCACCCAGAGTCAGAGCGGACCCTTCCAGACCAGCAGCACGCCCTATCTGTACTACGGGACGTCCTCCAACACGTACCAGTTCTCCATGGTTCCCGGCGGGGACCGCTCGCCGTCCCGGATGATCCCGCCTTGCACTAGCGCCTCCACGGGCACATCCCTGGTGAACCCTAACCTGCCCAGCCAGACAGAGGGAGGGGTGGACGGCGACGGAAGCCACAGTAACTCCCCAACTGTACTCAACCCCGGAGGCCGCATGGATGAAGCAGTCTGGAGGCCATATTGAAGAAGGCAGAGAGATAAGAAGTCAACTGATGTCATGGTTTGAAAGCACAAAACCTTTTCTTTCTTTCTTTTTTTAAATAAAAAGGGGATTTTTGAGCTTACATCAGCTGTCTCTACCTTTGGAAATTAAGGTTGAGATTAAAAAAAGAGGGAGAGAGCAAGAGAGACCAAACGTGTGTGGACTTGTCCTCCTGGAATGTGTTTAGACCGTGGCGCTACAAAGGGAGTCAGTTTCAAAGCAATAATGAAAAAGACAGTTTTGGTTTACTAGGCCCAAGTGGATGAGACATTATTTCAGTTTTATTCTATTCCACAAAGCTAAAGGGATGCTTCGACGATATTTGTTAAAGACTGCCTCTTTTGTACAGTGTTTGTATTTCTTTAAGGCTTTTTTTGCAGAGCATGTTTTTTTGTGTTGTTTTTTTTTGTACTACGACAATATCAAGATGCAAGTTAAGCACTGAGTAGCAAGTAATAAGAGTAACGCATATGTTACTTTAAGTGGTGTGGACAGTAAATTTTGCTTTAAACCGATTAATTTAACTTGTATATTGTGGGTGAAACGATGTAGATTGAGGCGTTTTCTTCGTTTTAACTTATAAAGCCATAAATTATGTATTGTATTTGAAACTTGAGTCAAAGAAAGGTAATCTGAATATTTTTGATGCATCTATATGACTAAGTTAAAATGATTTTTTTTTTTTTTGATAGGTAATTTAAGAAAGTACGTTTTGTTTTTGTTTTTCTGGTAGCACCCAAAGATTTAAAATCGTGTTGAATATGAAATGTAATTTCCAAAGAGTATTGCAACATTTTTTTTTTTCTGGTGTAACTTTCAGTTTAACTGCTCTACACATCCAGAGCCCCACATCCTCGCGAGGCGTTGACACACATTTGGCTCGGAATTAAACCTTTGGTATTTATTGAGCAATAACTCGTATTGTGCCTCTTGGCAACATACCATTAAAGAGAGTTTCAATGGGGGAAAATAATTATCCGTTTGGGGAAATTCTGCTTGATTTCTTTGCTCTGTCTAGTCTGACATGCACACAGATACTTATGCATTTTCTCTTCCAAATAAGAAATGGTGCATTTAGACACGAATTGACGTCCAGCCCAAAGATGATTGCAGTGGGTACTGTGCCTAATGGCCCACTTTAAAAGAGGCAGGTCAGACTTTAAGGATCACTTATTTTGTGATACATGAACTCCTCAGGACTGGAAGAATCCTTGGTTGATCCCACAGATTTGCTATATCTGCATTTCTTTTTTTTCATACCCAGCCTGGCTGAAAGCACGGTCAAGATTATAGCTCTGACATGCCAAGTCTATTATAGCTTTCATATCCTATGTAAAAGATAGCTTTGAAAAAGTCTTAGTGTGTGACACACACACACACATGGGTTTGTATTTTTTTTTTCTTGCTTTCTGTCTTTTGGGTTAAAAAGAAAATCGCAGAGAAACAAAAGAGACTCTGGTGATCCTTTCGGCTTTTATTTATTTTCCAATTTTTACTCTGGGTTTACCGAATTGATTTTTACCCTCTTTATTGGCTAATGTCAACAATAAGGGTCTAAATCTAAAATCTCTCTGTGGGCTCGATATGAGGGGAGGTCTGGGTTTAAAAATTACCGTGCGAGATTTTAAAATGTGTTAAAGTTTAAGGGGAAAAAGTGCAAACCAACAACCAAAAAACACAAAACAACAAAGTGGTGATTGGATTCAGCTGCTGGCAGCAAACTGGTAACCAAAAAATATGGGAGACTTGTGTATGTTTGTTTCATAAAGCACTTATTTCTTGTTTTATTTCTAGCAGCACTTGCGGCGGGCTGCCAGCAGGGCTCGTGGTTTTGGTCCTCAGTGGAGATGTAACGCCACTGGAGTCTCACACACACACACAGAATGGATAACACTTGGCCAAACAAGCCATTTATATTGGAGTTTAATCTGATTTCACAAGGCAGTTGGCATTTGTTTAAAAAAAAAAAAAAAGCATTTCTTTTCTTGCTTTCATACAGTATGATACTGAGTGCATGAAGGTAATATAATAACCCAATTTTTAAAAGCTGAGAAAAACATGGCCCTGTCCAAGGATCAGACTTCAAGCTTTTCATTTAAGATTTGCACGCACACTCTGCAGAGGATCTTCTCAACTCACACACACACACACACACACATTTCTCCAGCAGCTTCAGCCCAGCACGAAAAGTACTTTTGCTGTTAGAGCGTAACATAAATAAACAAATTCAAAAACCTTTTAGATTGCTGTGATTTTATAGCATTTTCCCAAATACTATGCACATCTGTTGGAATTTATTTAATCTGCTTCACAAATCTTTTAAAAACTGTTTACACCTAAACGCAGCACTGACACCCTAACCTGTCCTCATCTGCTTCTGTTTGGGTTTTTTTGCTGTTCCTCAAAATACAAAGGTTCATTTTTTTTAAAAAATTTTTTTTAATGTTGCGTACAAACTGTCATTAAAAAAAACTTGTATTATTCATTGATCAACATGTATGATATCCAGGAATTGTACCTGCTCTTATGTAAAGTTTACTCGTTATTTCTATTGTTATGCTCCTTCTCATGAACACTTGTCAGGAAACTCAATCTAATGGAGACTGTTAGACTTTGCTGGTACGTTTCATAAAGATCATAATTTGTTTTTCGATTGTTTGTTTTGTTTTGTTTTTTAAGGGAAACACAGACCTGACAACAGTGAGTGAAATTGGCATTGTGATTGTACATTTTTGTTTATTTTAAGAATAAAATAGGAATTTTGTAACTTACTTCCCCCCCCCACCCCCACCCATCAGAATCTTGTTTCTCCACCAAAATCAGTTTTTCTTTCACCTTAATAGTAATAATAATAATGCAGTTTATGTGCAATGGGGACCCCAGAAGACTTCCCTGTGCTTATCTGACTCTGAGATACACACATCTACAGAAACCACTGCTGTTACAAAATTACAGCCGTGTGATGAGGAAACTTGGAGTGGGAAAACATAGCCAGGTAATTGCATTTCCTTATACAGGATCTTTAATTTAAGATTCAGTTTCCTCTACCTATTTCAAAATAAAAGCCATCACTCGGTCTACTCTTAATCGCCTGTGCACACTTAGCAGTCATTGCTGGTTCGATCTCTCCCTGAAACACGCTGATCTCTGCAGCGTGTTGGTCGTGTCATCTCTTGTCTGCCGCTCCGTCTGCACCAACATTGTCTTTGGACGCGGGCCTGAGGCGGTGTCGAACCTCCGTCCCTAACTGCACGCTCAGCCGGCGCACTACTGCAACTGACATGGCTGCATTTCAAAGGTGAAGCGAAAACCCCAAGAGATGGAGACAGGGAGAACCAGGGGAAGCTGTTTTATATTATTCCAAGACATAATAGAGCCAATCCAAGCGTGCACGTACACAAGAAACAGAGACGGAGATCTACAGCATCCCCATGTGTTTTTTTTATGGTCCAGATTGGGGAACATTCTCGGGATTTCCCTGAATATAGATTGCGTGGAAAAAGCTCCTGCTGGTTTCAGGTTCACATTCTCAGCGTTCTCAGCCATGTCTAGCAATTATCATAATGAACTCTGGAGGAGCAGCGGGACCCAGACACCCAGGGAAATTAGCATAATGTCCTCCATGCACGGGAGAGACAGCAGCGCCGAGGCAGACTCGTTTAAAGAGGGGTTGGAATAGAGCTTTTTGTCCCTGTTAAATTTTGGCGGTTGAACATGATGCCAGCGATGATGTGCGCTTGATTTTTATACCAGGTTGTAAGTAGTTTTGCAGCAGCACAGCTCAGACTGTATTTTCTTCCTTATATTATGCAATCAACTGACAGGAATACAAACAAGAGTTTATGAGGAGACAAAACCACTCCACTCAAAGGACTGTGCACACACAGATATACACACACACACACAACTGACAGCCCAATACAAACTGTTTACGTGACCTCTACAAACGTTTCAGAGGAGCAGCTCAGGCGGGAAGTGATCCTCAAGGGCCTCATACCACTCACAGAGCTGTATATATCTTCCTATGTTTCCGTCTCCACTAACAGAGCTGTGGGTTGAGTGTGTTTGTATGTGTGTGCGTGTGTGTGTGTGTGTGCGTGCATCTTGATTTCTCATTTAGTCCCAAGATAAACTGAGGCTGACGGGCTCTCCGGTGTGGGCTGTAGAACCAGCGTGAAGCCTTTGACCTCCCTGAACCGCTGTTACCTGATGTCATCTGGGCTTCAGTGTTTTGGAGCGACCACCGTCACGTCTCAGAGGATGACCATCTTCTCCGACTTCAGCCCACTCCCACCATAAAATATATAAAAACTGTCAGTAATTTGGTGTGATGGTAACTGACACCTCTCCACCGACACCCACCCACTGCTTGATCCTTGAGATTTTCAAACTGTGACAACCATAACTGTGTACTTTGGCGCACTCTAGTGGCTCCTTAATTTAACCATGGGGACCGCGGGGAGGGGGCCCACCTATACGGCGTTCCATATAGCCAAACTAGCACTTATTATGTTAGTGGAACTATTGCACAGCCTCCAAACACCCCACATCTTGCCTCTGTGGAGTCGAGCCTGCACAAGAGCTTTTCCTCCATAAATGAATGCCAGATCTGAAAAGCTGTTCACCCTCACAGAGAGGGGACCGTAAAAGACAACTTGTCTTCTGACCTGTAATAAAAGAAATGATCAGCTGGCAGGCGAGCCGCATCCAGGCAGCAGCCCAGAACCTCACAGACATGGTAGGGTTGTAAGGCAGCCTTGACATCCTGCACCAGAATCCATTCATCACTAGATTAAAGCATGCCCGTGTCTTTAGCTTGCTTTGGAAACATTTGATTCCATGAAACCATTTGCTGCTAAGTGAAGCTCAAAGAGAGTGCACTTATGAAACCTAAAATGCCTACATTTAATGAGCACTGCTAGTTCAGATTATGCAATTTGATACTGGCCACACTGCCTGAAAAAAAAGAAAGAAGAAGAAGCAGGAATTACTGTGAAAATGTGAGTGTCAGTACCATGGAGAGCGACCAAACATGCAAACAAAAGCCCTCTTTGTCCCATGCCTTTGCTTCATGTCAGTGTTTCAAATTATACACCATCTCGACTGTCAGAAAAATGGCAAACTGGTGCAGCACAACCGAATGCACAGAACATAAGACAGGATAAACTCTGTGCCAAATATTCATGTAAAACAGGCGTTTTTCCATAGGTTTCAGCCAGGCAATAAAATTTTAAAAATTTGGGCCCGGGCCCCATCTATTGCCTGAAACCAAGCATGAAGGAGCCCTGTGCGTTCTTCGTGTCAGATGAAGGGTTGTTAAAACTTTATCAGGCAAGTGTTAATTGAGAGCTAATGGACTGGTAATTCGGAGCAGTCACGGTAATCCAGCTCGCTGCTGAATGACATACAGCCCTGGTGACATTTAGATCATGCGGAGGCCTTTTTTTTTTTCTTTTTTTTTTTAAAGGAAAATCTTCCGTACGACCATGGCCGCGTGAGGCCTGCCAGGGGAAAAGTGGGGGACGAAGGATGCCCGCCATCGTGTCTGGTTCTGCTTTAGACATTCATCCTCTCTGTCTCCAAGGATCATAACTCGTGTTAGAGGCGGGTTTTATGGTTTATGACTGGAAAATAAAATGCCCCGCGCTTCCTGCAGGCGAAGTGATGATTTATAAGTATGAATGATAAAGTGAGCGCCCGTCTGACAGTGTGTGGATGTGTGAGGGCTGCTGAGGATCCAGACATGTCCGACATGTGGATGCGAGTGTGGTCGTATAGCGAGTGTGGTCACCGCAGTGTGGTTATATACGTTGGAACACAGCGCAGAGGGAAAAGTTGTGTCTCAGTAGTAGGTATCACTACCTGACATCATCATCTCACATAATTAGCACAGTGTCCACATCCTTCTCCAGTGACCAAGGATTATTTCATGTGGTTCGCGACTGGAACAGAAACCCTAACCAGAGAATTTAACCAAGATCATAAATACCCCCAGGCTCTGCTGTCTGCAGACATGGTTACTCACTTCGACGGCTCCTCTCCAAAAAGCCAATCAGATATGTTTATTGTTATCTTCTGCCTAAATTTGGGTCTGATTATTTAAATACATAGAAAAATGTCTTGATCACCTGGCTCCAAGCTCAAACAGTCCACAGTGGAAGCCATGGCAGCCTTGTCCCAGCAACTGATGTAAGACAGGGGCCCGTGAACGCCAAAAAATCCCTCTGGTGAGGTCGTCAGTCTTGTGCCGTAACCACAGGCGCGCGCCAGGCAGATCAATAATCCCCATCAACCTTCACCACAAGTCAGTCAAAGCTCTGAGGGCAGGCCAGGAGAGGAGGTTTGGGGGACCTGCTGAGAATTTGATACTCTCTAAGATGCTCCCTGTCTCAGAGTGGATGGAAGAGATGAGTCGTTTTCAGCAGCCATGTTGCTCTTTTTTTTTTTCTTTCTTTTTTAAAACAGGATCTCCTGTTATGACTTGTTCCTGCGCTCTGATTAGAAACTTCCTTCTCAGCCCTCACCTTCTAAATGGGCTGATGCAGACGTCATACTTCAGACCTTTATGATTCGACTTAATGTAAGAAAACAAAGGTGGAAAAAACGAACAAAAAAACATTGATTCTGCTCCTCGCAAAATTAGCTATGAAAAAACAGACTGTCTAATTCATGCCTTTCTGTGTCATCACTCCAATCACAGAGCTCAGCATCTGTATCCCTCAAAAATAAATATCCGAAAGTCATTTAACAAAACTTACCACTACTCTGGTCTGAAGGCACAACCACAAGTCAAGGGTTCAGGTTTAAAATAGTTCATATAATATATATATGTATATATATATATATATA